ACCCTCAGGACCCCCAGACCCTGGGTGACCCAGCACAGCCTCATGCCACCCTTCCTTCACGAGGTACCCACTTGATCCTACTTTTCGTCACCATGGCTGCAGGTACAGACCCTTCCCAGGATGGCGATGGTGCCATGTCCAGGAACACCTCATGGACCAACCTGGGGGATGGAGACATCCCCTTGGAGGACAGTGACCCATTGGTGATGCCCACTGGCCACTCAGCATTAACAGGGGCCTGGAGCAGTGAGAAGCCCCCATTCCTTCCCCAGCATTTCCCCTTCACCCCAAGGCTGGGAACATCTTGCTGTGATTATTTGGGGGGGGGGGGGGGGGCAAGGGGTGGCTGGTCTTGGCCTATGAAGGGGTGAGGGCAGGAGGGTGGATGGAGCAGCCTCAGCCCCATTTATAACCCTCTTCCTCCTCCTTGTTCAGGGCCAGACCTTATTCTTGAACTGTCTGGCTTTTCCAGGGGAGACGGCTTTCCTTCGGTTCATGGCATTAAATAATTAAATGGAGGGAATAATCGTCGGTGAAACCCCCTTGGGTTCGCACTTCCTCGGGCCCTGTGATTGCTGATATTTTTTTGGGTGAAATATGACCTTTTTTATGATCAAAGGGGATCCGAGTTCCAAAGGAAAGTTAAAAAAAAAAAGAAAAAGAAAAGAGGGGCAAGCACGTTCCTTTTTTTCCCAATCCTCGCGGTCTGGTAAAGTTTCTTTAGACATGCAAAGATTTACACACCTTTCTGCAGGGTGCCTTAAATTACCCTCCGACTCTTTACACATTTCCATGAGCAGAGCAAGAACAGTAAGTCATTGAGAAATTAACTGGCCTTTCAGTAATATCCCCTGTCGGCCTTTCAGAAGGGGAATGTCTAATGACTTTTTTGAAGTAGAGGTCAGGCTTTGCTTTTTTTAAATAAAACAATCTGTATTAATGCAATTTCCTTTTTAGCTGCAGGATTTGCCCTTCCCCCCCCCCCCCCCCCCCTTCTTCTTTTCAGCATCATTCCTTTTTAACTCCCCCAGCCACACAAGGCATCCGAAGCGAGACCCGGTTGTTTGAAACCCCCCCCTCCTGGTGTTTCCTCACCCTCTTGTGCAAGCTCTTCTTGGGGTGTTTTTTTTAGGGTAAAAACCATATCTTTAAGGTGATTAAAACTGGATCCTGGAGCTGGGAAGGGCAAAGCAGGGATGGTTTGGAGGTGAAGCCAAACAGGGATGTTTTGCTTGATGCCATGTGCCTGGGTTTTGCTGAGTCCGGCTTTGGAGCTGATGGGCTGATGGACCAGAGCTGGCAAGGCTGTGCCAAGCTCCTCAGGGATTCATGTGGCCAGAGCCTTCCAGGTTTGCAGCCCTTGGGATGAATGTGTTTCTGTTTGTCAGTCCTTCATCTTCCTCTCTTTTAAGGGAGAAAAGGGATCTATTTTGGGAATGTCACTCTGCCCTCCTAGGGGTTTCCTGACATTTCTCTCAGGCTGTGATAACATCTCAAGCTTCCACAGTGCTCACCAGCTCTGCCAGCCCCAGACCTCCTCCTCACTCCCAAAATGTGGCGGTAGCTGGGGTGTGATGGGGCAGCATCCTTGGAGCACCGCTTGGGCTGGTGCTGCTCCCTTCAGTACCCATGTGCTCATTCTTCATATTCCCCAAGTGTTGCCCTTTGGTTATTATATTGTGGAGAAACTGGGCTGTCTGACTCATATCCTCCATGGGTGGAAGGGGGTGGAATGGAGATGCTCTTTGCTCCACCATAATGATGTTTGGAGTAGAGGAAATAGTATGGAGTATGGGAGATAGTGGGCCTTGGGGGTACCAGGCCAGGACCTGGTGACTGGCTCTTGGAGCGAATGGCTGGGGATCAGTCCCTACCTGGCTCTGGAAAGCAGGGCTGCCTGCCCCATCTGTTCCAATGGGAGCTGTGCCCAGCGCCATGCCCTGGCAGGGCTGGGGACCAGAGATCCCCATCCTGCCCCATCCCTAAGGGCCCCGAGCCAGGCCTGTGGCTCCCAGCAGGAATGGTATTTCTCTATCTACTGAGCAATTCCTCTTTCCCCCTCCATCGCTGCCAGACCCCAAAGGCACAGCATGCCCTGGACTAGCTCCTCTCCTCCGCTCCCCTCCAGCTCTCACAGCTCCCCCCGTTCCCTCCTAGCTCCTTGTCTCTGCGGTCGGTGGCATTATAAAACACACAGCCAGGCCCTTGGAGAAGGGTTTTTCTCCCAGCTTTCTTATTCCCTTTGCTTCTGCCTCTTTCTTTTGCTCTTTCTTTCTCTCCCTCTTTTTTTTCCCTGCCAGGAATCCCAGTCCCAGATGAACCAATGCTCCGTGGCTCTGCTATTTCCCTTTTATTCCCCCCCCCCTCCCCTCCTTCAACAGCGAGATGGGAAAAGAGTGAACTAAGAAAAAAAAAAAAAGAAAGAAAGAAAGAAAGAAAAAAATCAAAGCTGCACATATTGGATCCAGATGTGCGTGCAGCCCTTTCCAGCAATTTAATTAAATTCCCCCAGACAGCCAGGAGGATTTCTTAATGATCAAATTTCCCTGGCTTTCCTCCTAAAATGCCCCTCTTTCTTCGGCTGGCTCTTGCTCTGTCTCCCTGATGGATAGCCAACTCGCATTCTTCCTAGCCCGCCCCGCCAAGGCTATGGGGAGGAAGAGGGCAGATCCTGACGCTGTTGTAGCTGGGTACTCGAACGCCCCAAACGACCACACCAGCGATATCCCTATTCGCAAAATGGATTTGTTTCACACAAGAAACGTGGGGATGGGGAAGTCACCTCCCTGGAGGCTGTGGTTCATGGCATGGGCATGGCAGGACCACGGCAGGGATGCTCCAGGGAAGGGCTCTGGTGGGCTGATGGCCAGGGAAAGGTGTCAGCACTTGGGTCTCTGGGCTTGCTACCTCCCCAAGCTGGTTTGGAGCAGGGTTTGGCCCCCACTGCAACCCCAAAGCCTTCTTTCTAGGCAGCGGGGGTTATAGGGGTGGGAGTAGAGCCTCCATGTGGCTTAGAGGAAATGGTTGGGCTGGCAACCCAACAGTGTCTGCGGTCCGACACTGTGGGGGGCAGAGGTAGCAATGGGGTGACCCACACTTACCCGCCCTCCTTTCCCAGCTAATGGTGGGGAGTGCAGAGGGGATTTACCCCTAGAGGAGGGTCTGGTGGAGGGCTTGACCGTGGCATGGTCCCCACGGGTGCCATGCAGCCAGGGACAGTGACCGCGCCTGGTGCTGCCACCCTGACTGCAGAGGGTTTACTGGAGTGTGGAGTGCTTGGGCTTTACTGGCACCATGGAGAGTCCAGGTCTGGGTTTACCCATCCACCGGTGGCACTGAGGTGGCATTAGGACCGGATTGAGAGCCTCAGCTGCCATGGGGTTCCCCGGGTTGGGCTGGTTTGAAGCCAACTCATAGGGCATAAAGCATCCTCCATGTGGAGGGAGAAATTCTCACTCCCCATTACTCTTCCTCCTGTTTTTCCCCTTCAAGCCCTGCCAGGGTGCTTGGATGGGGTCATTCCCACCCTCACTCAGGACGGCACGGGGATGATGCCCCCCCAACCCTATCCACGGGGGGAGCTGTTTGGAGGAGTCCACACAGCGCCAAGTCCCTGTGTCACCAGGAACCAGCACCCACTCTGCAAAGGGGCTGGAACCCCCAGGGGGCTGCAGACAGGGGGTGAGTCCCCCACTTTGTGCGGGGAAGGGAAGGGTGGGAAACAGGGGGGAACTGTGACAGCATGTCAGAAAAATGCCCAAGCGGGACGGCCTCCTGGCCCCCTGTGCCCCCGGGCCACGGCTGCCTCCTGGAATCTGGAAGAGCTCCATCAGAATAACATAAATACGTAAATAGGAAACCCAAGGCAGCTTCAGTCAGCGCCGGCTCTGCCGAGCTCCCCGCGCCCGCAGTTCCACCAGGGCAGCAGTACAAAACCATGCTGCTGCTGCTGCTAAATCCCGGGGTAACGCTTCCTGCAGGAGCTGTTCCAGCAGGGCAGGGGCTGGCTGTGCTGCGGGCAGCAGCACCCGAGCCCCCTCAAGCCCGGGGGGGGAGGCAGCACCCACTCGATGCCACCTCCCCAGACCCCCCCCAGCCCACCGCGGGTCGGGGCGAGCAGCCGCGCTGTGGGTGCTCTAGGGAAGGGAACTGCGCTGCTGCATGGGGCTGCACGACCACATCAGGGGTTGCAGAGCCGGAGCCATCATAGGGGCTGGAAAGGGGGATGCAGCAATGAGTGTGTGTGTGTGTGTGTGTGTGCGTGCCCCTGCGCGTGCGGGTGTGCGGCAGCAGCTGTGCACATCTGGGCTGCCCGGCGGGGCCGTGCCGGTGCACTCGGGGTCTGCGCGCTTGTTGCGGGTGCGGGGGGGTACCCGCTGAGCGCGCAAACGGCCCCGTGCGCACCTGAACCCAGCTGCGCGCTCACGGGGGCGGGCGGCAGGACCGGGGGCACCGCTCGCACCAGCACCGCCCGCTCCCGGCCCTGTGCTGCCCCCTGCCGGCCGCGCCGCAGCCCCGCCCCTCCCGGTACAACCGGAGGCTTCCGCTTCCGGCGGCGGCTCGGGGCAGGTGAGCGAGCTCCGGGTTCCCTCTGGTGAGGTCCTCGCTGGGGCTCTCCGGGGCGTTATCGGCCGCTGGGGGGGTTCAGGGCCTTCGCGCTCGCTCCCGCGGGTGCAGTGGGGTTTGGGGGCTCCTCGGGTTCCCCACCCCCGGGTTTGTGTGGCTCGGGCTGATCCAGCTTTAACCATCGCCGAGGGCAGGCGGGGGGTCCTGGCTGCAGCGCTCGGGGGCTCCTCGCTGCTCTGGTCACCCTTCCCTTGGCACTTGGGGCAGGGCCGGTGTCTGCAGCCGGGGTTTGCCCCGAGCCTGGGCTGTGCCCGGTGCTGGGTGTTCCTGCGCCCGGATAACTGCGGTCTGCAGCTCTGTGTGCAGGAGATAATTTGGCTGTGTGGGAGGAGGTGGCCGCGGTGGTTGGTGCTCACATGAGGAGGGAGGGAGGGAGGGAGGGAGGCTGGGGTGTTTTGTGCCTGCAGAACTGCTGGAAGTGCTGGTTTGTTTTAAAGGGAAGGAAGGGACCGTTGGAAACCAGGCAGCGCTGCCGGAGACGTGCGTGACGAGGGGGGGACACCACTGCCATGCTGGAGGCCCCTGCGTGGTCTGTGCGTGGAGCAAAGGACGATGCCTTTCCTGCACGGCTTCCGCAGGATCATCTTCGAGTACCAGCCCCTGGTGGACGAGCTCTTGGGGCTGCTGGTGATACAGGATGCGGAGAGGCAGAGCGCTCTTGAGAGGTAACTGGATGGGGTCAAACACCCCCTTGGTGTTTTGGGGGGCGACAGCTGGAGCTCAGTGATGTGACTGAGGTCAGGTATGGCCCTGGCTGGGAGCAAACCCCAGTCCCATCGCACAGACCCTCCTTTTGCTGCTGTTGTTTGGAATGGAGGGGGGGAGCAGAGCTAACCTGGGCAGTACATGTACTCCCAAGAGCAGCCCTTTCTGCCTGACCCCTGGCAATAAAACCTAACCGGGTTTAGCTGTGACCCTGATGCTGTTGCACAATCCCACAGCCAACAGCTCAGAAGTGGTGGTTATGAGGTGAGAGGGGAAACCTCTCAGGGCCTCTTCTTCCCTGGTGCTACTTTGACCCCCATGAGACATCCATGATTGAGTAAGTGGCTGTTTTTGTGTCTCAAGCCCTGCCTGTCTGGGCAGCGACCGGAGCCAGCTCTCAGCTGTGAGACGAGTCTTGGAGAGGGAGACGCACTCCCCGTTCTATCAGGAAGGTGTGAGCTATGCCCTGCTGAAGGTCACCGAGCTGGGGCTCGTTCCCGCTGCAGAAATCCTCCTGGAGTTTGGAGCAGACCTCAGCTTTGAAGGTGAGAATGGTGGGAAGGGGCAGTGCTGATAGCTGGGGTTGACACAGAGGGTGCTGCTGGCCCAGACCCCCGCTCCTTGCTGGGATGCCATGGGTGGGCCTTGTGGCAGCCTTTGTGCAGACCCAGCCACAGGGATGGGGGGCTTTTGCCAGAGATGGAGCCATTGCAAAGCAGGACCCAAGGAGCTATGACAGCCCTGTTTCTGTGGGCATCGCCGTGTCCTCAGGGCCCTTCCCAGTCGTCCCCTTCCACTTCTGGCCCATGTCTGGGCTGTTCTGGGGAGCCCTTTGTTCTCTCTGACCCTGTGTTTTGTCCTCAGATCCAGTCACCTACTACACCTCCCTGCACATCGCTGTGCTCCGTAACCAGCCTGATATGGTGGAGCTCTTGGTGCACCACGGGGCTGACATCAACCGGAGAGACCGGGTATGGGCATGGCCACGCTGAGTTCCCTTGAGACTTAGGTGCAAGGGGCTGGCGTGTGGGGACAGCCCTCCTTGCTGCCCACCTCCCGGGCCTCACTGCATGCCCCTTCCCCTTGGCAACCTGGCCTGTAGCACGCTGATGCTGTGGCAGAAGCTCAGGTTGCCTTTGGCTGAGCAAACCTGCTTCTGCCATAGAGCAATGGGTGGGAGGAGAGAAACCTGTGCACCAGGGAAAGGCTCCCTTTGGTTTTGGGGTGTGGGTTCAGATATGCTCTTATGTTGGCCGTGATGGAGCCCCAGCAGGAGGCACTCACAAATGGTCTTTAATACTTGTAGTGATTTGATTTCCCTCTTGCTCTGTGCAGATCCATGAGAGCAGCCCCCTCGACCTGGCCAGCGAGGAGCCGGAGCGGTTGCCGTGTCTCCAGCGGCTGCTTCAGCTGGGGGCCGATGTCAACACAGCTGACAAAAATGGTTTGTGTGCCCCATGCAGCCCCCCCAGCCCCAGCAGGCAGCCCTCATGGGTGGGCTGGAGTGGGACAGGGGGTCTGGGCCCTTCCGTCTTTCTGCTGTAAGGATGGTTTGGAAGTTGGGTGCAGGCTGCAGACCCTCCCTGGTGCTGTGTGTTTCCTCCTTGCTGCTGCCTGTGTCAGGTGCAGAAGGGGGCTGAGACCAGCTCCACGCAGGCCATGGCAGATGGGAAGGGATTGTGCCTCCATAGCCCTGTGGAGCCCATGTGGCGTACATGCCCTCTGGGGCCACTACCAGTCCTGCAAGTGTGGCCTGTCCCCACAGCTGTGCACCATCATGGGATCAGTGGAAGCCTGCCAGAAGGAGAAGCGTTGTCTCTCCCATGTTCAGCTGTCTGGTTGGTGGGGTGGATTGTTTTCCTTCCTGCCTTTTGGGCTGTCACCCCGTTTTCATCTCACTGCCTGCTCCATTGCAGGAAAGACAGCGCTGTTGCATGCCCTGGCCAGCAGCGATGGTGTCCAGATCCACAACACTGAGAGCATCCGTCTCCTGCTGGAAGGAGGTGAGAACAACCTTTTTCTCTCTCCACCCACAACCTCTCCAGGGCTACTTCTGGCTGATTCTTTGTCCTTTATGTTCCTGCTTGAGCTAGAGCAAAGCCCAGCAGTGCCAGAGTTAGTGCTGTCCTTGCCTCGTGGTCTGCAGCACCGGTTACCTCGTCTGTCCCTTCCTCCAGGTGCAGATGTCAGGGCCACCACCAAAGATGGTGACACCGTCTTCACCTACGTTATCTTCCTGCTGGGAGAGATGGTGTGCAGCAGCAGCGAGGAGGCGCAGGTGATCAGCCGCTTCTGCTTCCGTGTCACACAGCTGCTGCTGGCCCACGGTGCCAACCCCAGCGAGTGCCCGGCCCCAGACTCCCTCACCCACCTCTGCTTCAAAAGCTTCAAGAGCCACTTCCCGCTGCTGCGTTTCTTGCTGGAGTCGGGTGCTGCCTACAACTGCTCCCTCCATGGTCCCTCGTGCTGGTCCGGCTTCCACATCATCTTCGAGTGCCTCTGCTCGCACCTCAGCGTCTCCGAAGACGACAGCTTCTTTACAGACCTCATCCAGAAGGGCCAGACTCTGCTGGAGCTCATGATGGCCAGTTCACAAGCCATCCAGCTGCCCAGCAACTTTGAGGTCAACACCAGCACCTGTAGGTACCACGGGGAGAAGATCCGGACTCTCTTCTGCTCTCTGAAGCAGCTGGAGCGCTCCCCGCAGGCACTGAAGCATCTCTGCAGGGTGTTCATCCGGCAGTGCCTTAAACCATGGCCAGTAGATGTTAAAATCAAGGCTCTACCTCTTCCAGACAGGCTGAAGTGGTACCTCCTCATTGACCACACTGCTGCCGGGCAGGAGGACCTCTGAGCCTGACTTGCACCTCTCCGTGTGCCACCAGATCTCTGCCCTGGGACAGTTTTCTCTGTCCATGGTTTGGGCATAATGCCACATGCACATCTGTGGAGGCCCCGTTGCCCTGGAGCATGTCATGGGGAAGTGGGCAGAGCCCTGTGGCTCCCTGGACCCTGGGGCAGGGGGCTGGTTTGTGTGGGTTTTAAAGGAAGGGCTGGTGGGGAGGAGCAGTGGGGTGGTTGGGGCAGTGTGGCTGGGCAGAAATAGCCTGGCCCTCGGCCTTCCAGCCCTGCCAGGTCCGGGGTGGGTGACATTGAGATGCTTTGGGGTGCTGGGGGAAGAGGTGCTCCTGGTCTCCTCCCTCTCGTCGTGGTGGTGGGAGCAGTCATGGTGGAGGCAAGCCTGGCTTCTTGGTGTGGTTCTACACCCTCTTGAGTTTCCGCACCTCATCCTCCCAGCACAGAGGACCATCCACCAAAGGCATCTTGGAGGTGCTGGGCTCCAAAACACACAGACAACTGGATGTTTCCCTGCTTTGTGGTGTGCTCCCTTGTGCAAGGATGAGGAATGGGTGGCTGACTGCTGAGTGCCTTGGCCTCCCTCCTTGTTCCTCAGCTCTTTCCCTCACTCACTGCTCCCAGGACCTCGGGTCTCCAGTGCCTACTTCCTAGGAACAAGAACTTGCAGCAAGACTCGGGGTCTTCTTGCCAACCCGCTGCTGAAGCCTGCACACTCTGGGAGCCCCATGTCCCAGCCTTGCCATGCCTTGTTTGTCTGCCTTCCCTTTCCAGGCATCGGCTTCCTCGTGCCATGCCAAAGACTGGCTCTGGAGCTGAGCCCCCCGTTTGTTGATTTGGTTTTTGTCATGGAGGACAGATGAAATGCAGAAGGGGATGAAAAGAGGAAAATCCCTATTCTGAGCAGGTTCAGTTTGTAACAGGTGGATTTGGGATCCACCAGCAGTTTGGCTGTGGCAGGGCTGTCTCCTCCCATTGCTCTCCTGTGTTTTCCCTTCTCCCACCCTGTGGAACTGGAGCTCTGCATCTTGATGAATTGATGTTTAAAGCAAATAATAATGTCATCAAGTACTCCCCTGGTGTCTGGAATGGGAAATGAGCAATTAAATGAGGCCTTCTGTAATAGCAACAAGGGGGTTGTTTCTCCTGCAGGAGATGGGGTGGAAGAGGGGGGATTGTGTGTGATGGACAGGTTGCAACTGGGGCCTCTGCTGGGATCACCGTCTTGTGCCAGTGTTGGCTGAGGTGTGCTGGGTTTGGTGGGCACAAGCTGATGGCCAGACTTGGGGAAAATGATGGCCAAGGAGGAGATGGGTGACACTGGGAGGTGTTGGGGGAGCAGCTCCAGTGTTGCAGCGTTGGGGCTGAAAGTGCTGGGCATCACTGTGAGCCCGCAGCAGCAGCACAGAGCGGGGTCCCTGTTCATGCCTGGAGCACACCAGTGCTCTCCCAGGGCTGCAGCTGGGTTACCCATTACTGGAGGAGAATGGGAGGAGCCAGGATTCCCTCCACCTCCTGTTTTGGGGAGACCTGTTCGTGGGTTTAAAGGAGAGGCTCCTGCCAAGCCCCAGAACCTGGTGTTGCCTCCCCAGCCCACTGCAGGGCAATGGCAGGGATTCCTCCCACTTGCCGTTCCCAGCTTGTTGCTGTCAGTAGCAGCAAGTTCACCAGCAGCAAACAGCCAAACACCCAGGCAAGGAACAGAGCCCAGAATGTCACAGAGGTGCTCTGTGCTCCTGCTCCTCAGCAGGAGTCCTGTGCAGCTGCAGTGTCAGCAATGTGCTGGTGCCCAGGAGCACACCTCTTGGCAGGGGATGCCCTCCTGCTCCCCTCCAGAGCCCCTGAAGGCGGCATCAAGCCAAGGCGCTGTGTCCCACAAAGCCCACGTGCAGGAGTGCAACAGCAGGGAAGTGTATTTGGCAAACACCTCTTCACAAACAGCAGCAACGTGGAAGACAAAGCCCCGTCCTCGCCACCAGCCCCACAGAGAGGGAGTCACGGCACCCTCGCAGCCATTCGCCGCCCTGCGGTGAAGGCACGGTCCTCACCCCTCCTGGCCCTGGCAGGAACCGCACTGTGCTGGCCCTGGAGAGACCTCCTCCCGCTGCCCTCATCTCATGGCGAAGGTGTAGACGTGGTAGATCTCATCAGGGAAGTTCTCCTGGCGCTCCTCGGCCAGGAGGTGCAGCCCAGCACGGCGGATGATCTTCCTGACCACATCCAGGTCCCGGCACACGCTGCTGTCCACATCGTCCATGATGACTCCCTCCTGAGCCATGTTGTCCTTGATGACCACGATGCCGTTGGGCCGCAGGCCGGCACGGCACCGCTTCAGGAAGTCGGAGAGGTGGCTGTCGGTGAGATGGCCTGGAGGGGTAGAGCAGTGGTTAGAGGGCACAGGGTGAGTGGGGCAGGAGGAGGAGGGAGGAAGACCGGAGGTTGTGGCTGGGATCCAAGCAGCAAAATACGGAAGTCAATTGCAAGTGAACGCTTTAACTTGGGGGTTCCCAACTTCTGCCCCACTATCCAACTCCATCCAACCCACACCTCTGCCCTTTGAGGGCTTGGAGGAACAGAGCCCTCAGTACAGTGCCCTCGGAGTGCTCCTCCACGGGGTAAGGATGGAAGGGGAGGTCCCCAACCCAGCCTCCCCTACTTGTGATGCTCATCCTTCATGCAGACCCTGAGCTGCTTTCCCCAGTGCATGGGGCACCCAGGGGGCAAGTTGTGAAGAGACCCTCACCAATGACCCACTGGATCCAGATGACATCGTAGCTGTTTGGCTCGGGGCTGAAGTCCTGGAGGCCGCAGCAGAAGTAGTTGCGCACCCGCCTGCCCTCCTCTCCCAGGTAGCTCTTGGCCTTGGTGAGGAAGTCCTCGGTCACATCCACCATGTCCACTGTCTTGAAGAGGGGCAGCAGCAACCGCTTGGTGATCCGGCCGATCCCTGCCCCGCAGTCCAGAGCACGGGTTGTCCCTGTCCGGTTGGGGCCATCCTGGAACAACCACCACGAGGGGCTGAATCCCACCACAAGGTACACACAGAAACATGGGGCAACCATAAGGGATGGGGCTTAGGGTATGGGGACCCATTGCAAGCAAAGCTCTCCCAGCACGCATGCAATGGAGGATCCCATGGAGCGATTGGGTGGGAAGAGCCATGCTCTGTGCTGGGAGAAGGATGGGGCTTTGGGAACATGATGGGAACATGACAGATGGTGCCACCTACCCGCAGAAACCGCTGCAGGAACTTCCTGGAGCTGTTGATGTCGATGCTGGAGATGTGGCCGTAGCCCCCCAGCATGCCATCCACCGTGGCCGGCACGGCCTTCCAGTACTTCTTGGCCTTGGAGTAGAACTCCAGCTCATTCTCCACCACCTCACTGGTCATGGTGGCCGAGGGGCACGTGCCCGCGTGGGACTCACTGCTCCTCCAAGACGGGAGAAACCACCGGTCAGGCCCGACAGAGCCCCAGGCACAAGCAGAGAGGTGGCTGTCAGCTCTAAGTACCCCAGTTTGTACTGATCACCCCTTCCCCAGGGCTGCTGTAAACCCCCAAAACCTCCAGCTGGGATGAGAAGGAACAAAGATCTAAATCCTGATGTTTTCTGGAGGACCACCAAGCCTGAATCCCCTCCCTGGGCAGGGCTGCCTCAGCTGGACCAGGCATCCTGGAGCCTTCCTCAACAACACACACAATTATATCACTATTGTTTTTAAGGCTGACCCACGCTTTTCACCTATTCTACCTCTTTTTTCCCCTCTGTCTTAATGTTTTAGAGAGTACAGCTCACACCCACATCAGTCACCTCCAATTACACCTGGAGTTGCTCAAAGTTCTCCTGAGCACCTACCCGGGGACTGTAAATCTCACCTGTGACCGTAAGTTAGGTATTTGCAATACAATGAAGTCAAGGTATAATCAGCAATACAAGCAATAAATCCCCCCCTGCCAGGCATCTCACAACTCAAACCACTGTGGATTTGATAAACTGTGCTGGCAATCTAGATTGAAGGTGGCCAAAGGGTAAATTCAAGGACTTGGAACACCCAGTTTCCAGTGTTCCTGGCTTGAATTCGCTGGCAGATACCCCATTAGACACAAAACCTTTCCTGTGCCAGCTTAAGCAGTTTTTGTGGTCTTCAGCAGCCTGGGGATGGAGCAGGGGGACGCAGCATCTCACCTGAGGGATCACAGCTTGAAATCCAGTTTGGCTCAGTGGTGGCAGGAGCTGGCCTGTAGTGATCTGGGGGAAGAAAAGACCCAAATCACCCCTTTAGTCCCGGTGCACATAAGCAAGGCTGACCACAGCCCTATGGTAAGAGGTAAGAGCTGGCCTGGCCCCCCCAGGCATCTTCCTGGGGCAGTTGTGGGGCGGGAGCTGCTGCTGCCCCACGGCTCAGAGGTGACAGGAGGCTGAGCTGGAAGGTTTTGGCTTCGCTGCTGTCTGATCTCACAGGTTAGGACCTGAATTCACCCCCCGCCCACCGCCACCCCTTCCTTGGCTCTGACTCTCCCAGGCCCAGAGGCCGGGTGCCGGCTCCCTCCTCCCCGCTGTGAGCCCGGAACGTGGCCGTGCCCCGGGCAGCGCGCAGGTACCCACGGACACGGGCAGAGACCACCTGGACCCGGCCGCCATCGGGATGCGGGGGGGGGGACACGACACCTCAGTTACTCGATCCCTGCGGCCATTTGCAGGCCGGGGGGGGCCAGGAAAGGGGGTGCCCGAGTGGGGGGATCCCGGGGTCCTCACCGCGGGGCTGAGGGGGCCCTGCCCGTGGGGTGCGCGGTTCAAGGCCGTTTCCCCGGTCCCCCCCATCGGGCCCGGGGCCCACCCGCTGGGCTCCCCCGGGGGGCGCCGCTTCCTGCCCCGGCAGCTCCCCCTTCCCCGGCCCCTCCCGGCCTCCCCCGTTGCTGCGGGCACGGCCGGGGGGGGTCCCTCCCGCTCCCGCTGCCCCGGCGGCCGCGACCTCCGGCTCTCCCCGGTTACCTCCGGCGGCGGCCGAGCTGCTGCGTCCGGCCCCGCCTCCCGCCGTGACGGGCAGC